AGGCTGGTTCTCTTTTTGTTTTGTTTTTTGTTTGTTTGTTGTTTTTTAAATTGTGTAATTTAAAATAGCAAATATACATAAACATTATTTTGGCTGCAGACTTTTGTAGATAGTATTATTCTTTTTCATACAATTCACAGTCTGATATCCACTGAAGCTTACACTTGTGCTAAAGCTCCAGTGTATAAAGAAATGAACAGAAACAAAATGTGCCCTCATGATATAAAATCTTCTAGTTCTATACATAGTGTACCCTGGTTGCCTCCAGTTTTTTTGTCTCCTGTCAGCAAAGTATGGATATATTGATGTTTCCTTGACTGTTTCTGTTGTATCTTACAGTAACTTACCAGCTCCTCTAAGAAGCACCTCATTTGATGTCATGACTGCAGCAATGGGCACCGTGGTTCTGAGAGATGTGACGTTATACAAATCTGTAAATTGCAGTAAATTTAGGGTAATGTATCATAAGATCCTAGTGATAAATGATTATTCTAATTTGCCATAGACCAAAGCTATGGAAAATATGCAGAACTTTTGTAAGATATATAGAGTAAGATCTATCCAACTCTGCCAGGAGGTGAAATAAATGTATGGCTGCAAAACCATGGGGACGCAATCAAGCTTTCGCATGACTACTGAAAGGTTTTCCATCAGGCTCCTGAGTGACTTCTGTCTTTGTTTACTCCAGGAGGACGTATGATTTCTGTCTGGTAGAGAAATTACCATGAAACCAGAAGTAGGTAATAGTACCCCCTAAAACATCTTAATGCTTCTGGGTTCCCCACACACATCCTGGGTTACAGGATCCTTGGGATGACTGCATATGGGCTTGTTTGCACTTGATTTCTCAGTGAAGATAACAGCCAAGCTTGTCTATCACTCTGGTTCACCCTGTTTTCAATGCCAGACAAGCTCAGTAGTAACACAAAGATTTCATTTTCCAAATAGAAATTACTGTTAGACACAATCTTGGAATTAAAACGTAAGTGGTTTATTATATAAATCAAGCATATACCTCAAGATTCAGTTAATAACTGGGTACTTTTCTCGTTACACAGCTTAGCAAGTATACTTCAGAGATGTCCTGTTTTTCAGAGCTATGCCATGTTCTTGAAAACTGTTATCTAGACAACTCCTTAAATACTGAATCCTGCTTTTTCTGTCTTTTAGTTATAGCTTTTCTTATGGTCTAATTTTTAAATAGTGAAATCCTGCTGGAAGCAACTTGCAGTTCTCTTTTGAAAGATAGCAAAAGCATGGTGATGTAGTCCCGTACAGATTTTTTTATTTTAAAACAACTTCTCTTTTCCCTCATTGTGATTTTCCTTCTTCTTCATACATCTCTTCCTGAAGATGTAATTAGTTTCTTTTTATAAATGGAAAAGATGCATTGATTTTTTTTTTTTTCGAGTTTGTTAGCTATGCTATGTAGTTTTCCATTCTTACTGATTCTGTTAGCTGGGAGATACTGAGCTGTTTGCTCTAACTAGCAGGGAGAAGTTAGCCTAAGTATTCTTTGTAGTGTCTTGGAGTTTGTAAATAAATACCTTTTAATAATTTAAAAAAATAATTGTATGCACATTTTCTATTTCCCATGACTTGGGCAGGTTGCCAGCTTTCTGTTGAGAATTGAAACCTGACGTAATTGAACAAGATGTTACCATAGACTTAGTAACAAGATACTTTGCCGAAATTGTCCCCTCAGCCCATTTATTGCCAGCTTGGGAATTCTAGTGTTGCATACATCTATCACATTAAAGATATAATTATAAGAAACACCCTCTATAATGCAAAGGGAGTGTGGTATCAAGAGTAAGCGCTGCCAGATGGTAGGCAATCTAACAGAGCATTTAAAAAGGGTCAAAATCGAAAATGTCTGAAATCTGATGGCTTATTAAGCAATAGATGTTCCATGTGTGGGACAAGTGAGAGATAACCAACAAAATTTAGTTGCCCACATGACCAAAATTGACTTTTAATTGCATGCATTCTGTCCATAAATATCTGAAACATATGTTTTTACTAACTTAAAGGTGTTTTTTGAAATTTGGGACAGAATATTACATGTAGTGATATGATGCTGGGTGTTGAAAAGTTGAGTAGGATTTGTACATGTTCTTATTGCATATTTATTAAGTAGTGAATTTATTATGATGGCTGAACCTTCTGAAATGGAAGAAGAAATCTAAACACAAATTCAAGGTTTTTGACATTTAAAAGAATTCAATCCAGGACCTAGTAATTGTATTATTTTGTATGCGTATTACTTAGCTAGATGTGAACTAAATATGACATAAATGATGACTGAATCCAATTAAATGCCTTTGGTTTTAGTTTGCTATCTAAAGGTATTAGCCAGGAGTTTAAAATTTCTTGCTTCTGTTTAATCTATCCTCTGCTCTTGTTTCCTAAAGGTACATTTTCCTGTAGTCTGCCTGTAGGCTGTGCTCTGTCATTTACGTGGAGGCTAATTTTCTTTTGTTGAGAGACGATTCTCATTAAGACAGGTCTGAGGAATACTCCTTCAGTATTATGCAAGCTGTCAGTGTTATTCAGCAATGTCAACCCCCACCGTGTCGTTCCCCAGGACTGTATGAACATTTCTCAATGTGCCCATGGTTGTTTCTATCATTTCTAAGCTGCAGCCGACTTTTACATTCTCCACGGGCTAGACCAAATTTGCCTTTCTGTAGAAGGGATGGGAGAGCTGCAGTGAACTTTCACTCCCATGCTTGTTCCTCACAGGATGGCAGAGTTCAAACTTGCGCTGGGGAAGGAGAGCTGGCTTTATAGCTCAGAAGTGCAGGTACCATGAATCTGCGTAAAATGGTAGCAGATGTTTCTGCTGAGGCTACGGACTTGTAATTCTATGAAGTGTCACGGAACAGCAGTTCATCTTAACATTGAATGTACATACTGATTCTATGCCACTGGCAAAATAAGCAAATGGAATATGATATATAGCTTGGTTTCATGTTTCTAGTACAAACTTTTCCATTGCTGGAACGGCTTTGAAAATGTCAGTTTTACCCAATGCTCTGCAGAGAGTGTGCAAATCTATAGGATGTTAGATGAAGATCCGAGATGGAAGTCAGGAGCCTATCTATCTTTGGATTTCAGAACTAACTAGGGACCTAGATACTTGTAAGCATCTCGACTCTGTGCATGAATATCGTTCAGAATTCTAGCCATAAAGAACCATTAATGGTAAAACTGATTTTTAAAATGTTACCCATGGGTGCTGTACAATTGCAGAACTAGTATATCAGAATATTTTGAATATGCCTCATGTTCCATTTCTGTCATATTATATATTTTGATTTGCAGTTTACAGATCAATATATTTACTAGGACTATGATGAGAAGTTCTATTAATCATTTTTCACCTTCAGTTTCTTGCAGTACTCCACCAATGAATTATTAACATCTGTTTGGCTGTTCTAATTATTACACATCTTTAGCTTAAACTTGCTTGAGTAGTTCATAAGTTGCTCTCCTCCAAAAATGAAACATAAACATTTGGCTAAATTAAATTTTTCCTTTCTGAGGATTATTGGCTTGTGGCTTAAACGTCTTCTGAGATCTCCAAAGTGAAATGTTTTCATTTGCTGAAAGACAGAAACTTATTTAATATATCTAGACAACTTCATTTTAAGTGAATATGGGTGGAAGATAAAGATGGACATCTGGTGTTTTATTCACCACAATAAAGGAAAGCTGTTTTTGTGATGCTGTATCAAAGAAACTGTCATCTGTCTGAATGGGAGTACATAGCTTCTGTGGTACTTTTACTGTTGTTTATAGTTCAGGTCATAGGTCCCTGACCAAAGTTTATTTGAGTGCTTATTTTAGAGCTGCTTATCAGTGGCTATGATTATAGGCAACGTTACTTGCAGGCAAACACTTTCCCCTGTCGCACTTAACCTATGCTGTGTGGCTGATCTCAACAGCAGCACGGGTGCTGTGCCGTTGTTGAGGAACATGGACTACTTTGTTTGAAAGCCAGAATGTCAGAGAAAGAAAATTTTTGTACCATGAGACTTCAAAGTCACCTGTGAAAAACAAAACACTCTACCAAAATATAAAGTGGAGAAGTAGATTATTAAATAATTCCCTTTTATATTTTTTCTGATAAATCTTTATAGGTGAAGCATATAACAAAGCTTGTGGTTACGTTTGAATAAATTTTCAGATCTTCATATCTTTATCAATGATTCATTTTTCAGGCTGAAAACTGACATGTTTTTCTGAAGCTTAAAGTGTCTTCCTCTCTTTTATAAAAAAAAGAAAGGCAACTCTAAATGAAAAAACCTTTATCTAATAAACATATCTTTTTGTAATAACTCTAATTTGGATGGTTCTGTCTCAATGAAGATAGCATAGAATTTGAAATTAATCTATATATTGGTGAGAAATATCTTCCAGTGGCTCAACAGCCTTTTCATATGACTAAATTAAACCAAAATAATTAACAAATGTATTTCAAGCCAATAATCTGTCATAATTCAATAAATACATTCAACACATAGTTTGTAAATTTAATACATCTTGTTTCTAGGAGTGGATCTTGACCATCTATTTCAGTGCTGTATATCCCTGTGACAAAATGTAATGGAACCTCGTTTTATAATTACAACCATGTGGTGTGTATCACCTGCAGTACTGCTGCTGGAGAAGATGTACTAGAAGGAGAAAAGGCCTCCTAGCATGTAAAGGCAATCTCTTGGAATGCTTGGAATATTTAATAAATAAGTATACATAAGTTGTTTTGTTGGGTTTTTTTAGAAGGCATTTGATTGTTTGCTTTTTTAAGAATAACCAAAGCCATTTAATTGGAAAAACCTTCTTTGTTTCCTTATATTGAATTAAATTGCAAGAGGGCCATTCAGCAATCGCATTCCATTACACTGATCAATGCTCATAAATGTCAGAGGTGGATTTTACATCCCCAGAAATTTCATTTGTATTCCAAACCTCCACCCTTCAATGAGCTGGTCGCAATGGCAGTGCAGGAGGTTTCACTCAGGCCTGCTTGCATGGAGCTTACTGGAGCATTAGAGGGTCAACAGCATGAAAAGATGATGAGAGGAGCAGAGGTAAAACTAACAAGGTCATGGTCACTTAGGCCAAAAACTACGTCTTTGAACATCATGTATTCTCTGTCTTGTCTGCTTTGTTTGCTTTTCTGGATTTTCCTTTTTGTTTTAAACAGGTGAATTTCAGGGCTGTCTTATCACTGCTCTGTCAGGCTGCATAATTAGCTGATTTGTTTTGACAATGCAGGCAGAGTGCTATGATGTTGAAAGGATGGTGAGACTGGAATGTGCAGTATGTAAATTGGGAAATTTTAAAGAAATGTTAAAATTACATTGCATCTGCTTAAATGTTGTGGAAGGCAAATGGCTAGCAGAGAGATCTGGGTACAAGCTGAATAGTGTAAAAAATGGTGATTTCTGGATGTGGCTGGTGGAAGCAGAAATCTGTAAGAGCTGCATTTTATTTCTGGTAGGGACAGGTGTTTTAGTATATGAAGTATGAAATTATGTGTTGAATGATATTGTTAAAACTGAATTTTGAGCTTCCTAGCTGAGCATTCTCCTTCCTGCCTACCCTTTTTCACATTTGTGATTTTTCCGTTCATAGATTTGAAGATTATCTATGTTTTTCTGTTTAAACATAGTGCCCAGTCTTGCTTTCAATTAACTTTTTAAATTAATGATACATCAAATTCCAGCAAATGCAGATTTATGTTTGAAGCTGCTTGTATGAATGTACAGTATCTTTGTACAGTTACATACACAAAGCCAGTTTTACCTCTGATTATCAGAATGAAATTGTTAGTAGTAGTATACATGTCAAACACCAGAAATCTTGGTGTTTTACGTGAACCAAGTTGATGGTCCTAGTCTTGTTTTTTTGTCAGAGGTATTCACCCCAAAAAATGAATTGTCCCAACTAAATTGGTGGTCACAGGCCAGTCTCCTCACCAAACCCCATGACTGAGATCATGCTACTGAGCTACTGAGCAATGTCTTCCCCATCATCTCCTTCTCTGAACATAAATAGAGAAAATGGGCTTTTCCCCATCAGCAGAAACTTTCAAGATTACACTGATAAGTCGGAGACAGAATTGGTTAAAAAAATATATTAGAGAGAATATTAAGTGATGTTGTCTGACTGTCTTGGTTTTGTGAGAGGGTGTGGGTGAAGTTACGTTCCTTTTTGCATGGTGCTTTATTGAGAAGAATTAGAGAAGGCTTCTCCCAATTTAAGCCTCTGAATTTCCACTTAGTATGGAGGCATCCTAAATGTCATGTTTCTAAATGGTGCTCTTAAAATTACTGTCACTACAAAATTCTTAATTAATGCAAGTGTTCCAACATGAGATAAGAGATTATTTTGCAGCTGAAATATTTTTAGATCTGTCTCTTTCAGATTTTTTTGCATGCCTGTAAAGTGGTCGCTTCTAATTTGAGAATGTGAGTGAGTATTTTACAGTGATCCACTACAGAAATTTGCTGACACTTAAAGAATTGGTATGTGGCAACTTGCAATTGGTTCAAGGTTTGGTAATACGAAACTGAAACAAATCTGTTGGGAGTCCCTACACAAAGTTTTGCCTAACAGTTTGAATGGGGGTGGGAGTGGGGGGGTGTAAATTTGATGAAGATACTGTTATTTATGATATGATGTGTTCTGATGCAGAAGTAATGTTGATGTTGATAATTGAAGATATATTTATTTTGATCAGCAGACAGGCCAGCATAGACAGATTCAGCATTTTCCAGGAGAAAAGTCCTTTGTGAGTCCTGACTCTTCATCAGCCTTTTTTCCTAGCTGGTAGCTATCTGGACAGGAGCACTACCCTGCTTTTTCACCGAGGAACAGGGCTGAAGAAAGGAGGAACTGTGTAAAGAAAGGGGAGTGCAAAAGCGGTATCAGAGCTCCACTGGCAGTGGTGCACTGTTCTTGCCCAAGGTGACTTGGAAGTCAGGCTTTAATTCTTTCTACTGTAGTTTAATAAGTTTCTCTGGAGGAAAAGCAACTGCAAGTATCAGATGTATTCAAGCACTTGCGGTAGCGGATTATTCGGTAAAACCCAAGAGACTTATTATTAAATAATATTGCCATATTCTGTAAATTTCTCTTTGTCCTTTCCTTCCTCCCCTTCCGTGTGCAATGAGGACAACATTGGTCCTGTACCTGTATTCCTCAGAAATCTGAGACTTAATTTGTTAATGCAAGTAAAATACTATAAAAACTTTATGTTGAAACTATTGCATGTGTACCAAGAATTAAAAACCTTTTGATGAAACATCCACTGCTGAAATATTAGTTGAATTTAGTGAATAACACATATATATATTAGTGTGATGTTAATTAGTTAATTACATAGTCACTATCCATGGAAAGTACTGTGATTTTCTTTTCTAGTAATCAAGCCTTTGAAGCACTCAAGCTTTAAACCTAACCAAATGCAGTAACCAAAGCCTTTTGAAAGTAGTAAATTGATGTTCATTGGCTTCACTGGTCTCTGATCAGGTCCCCTGAGAGCTGCATTTATCTAATCATCAGATGTGTGCATAGAATCACAAGTGAGCAACACTGCAAATCTCCACTGCTAAGTGTGCTTAGTTACCAGATAAAACTCATGAAATATGTTTGAAATTGTGCAAAAGAAGCCTCAGTATTACTGAATTTTATTAATCTCCCTGTGAATTTCTTTTCTGCTACCAGGTAGGAAATTGCATCAATATTTAAAGAGTAGCAGCAAGGAACATAAACTGGATCTCTAAGTATATATTGCTAACCTTGAAGTGAAGGAATTCAGTATTAGTCTGAAATCAAATGAAGATTTCTAGTGGTCTGAAAACTTCATTATTTTTGGGGGTTTTTTTAATCACTTTGAATCAGATTGAAGACATGAAATTGGAAGATTCTCAGGTCCAGCACTGCTTGTAATTCAGGCAGGGACTGAACATTACCTCTGCCTCATCCCAGACTGACGAGTCTCAGGCAGGTAGAGAAAGCCTTTCTGCCGCTTCAGCAGGTTACCTAGCTATGTCAATGAAAGTTCGTTAAGCTTCATATGTTTTAAATTAAAGAAGAATAGAAAATGTTGATGAAATTTTCACCTTAGGAAGTGTCACAGGTTTCTACTTAATATTATTTCTGCCCTTCAACCCCAACACTTGAATCCATAGAGCTCAGGAGCTCTCAGTCCCCAGATGTAAGAAATCAGGAACAGAAGGCAAGAGACCGGCATGGCTGAGCTGAGACCTGCTGGTCAGACTAAATAGCAAGAGGAAACTGCAAAGGCAGTGGAAGCAGAGACAGGCATCCTGGGAAGAGTAGAGGGACGCTTGGCAAGGGATGCAAGTAATAACAAGAAGGGCTTGTACAAGTATATCAGCCAGAAAAATAGGTCAAAGACAGTGTACCCCACTGAGGAGAAAAGACTGGCAAACTGGTAACAACGGCAAAGGAGAAGGCTGAGGTACTCAACATGTTTTTGCTTCAGTCTTTGCTGGCAGCCTCTCCTCCCACACCTCTCGAGTGGATAGACTGCAAGACAGGGACTGGGGGAGAACAGTGCCTCGAACTGCAGGAGATCATCATGTTTGTAACCACCTGAGGAACCTGAATATACAGAAGTCTGTGGGACCTGATGGGATACACCCCAGAGTCCTGAGGGAATTGGCTGATGCAGCTTCCAAACCAGTCTCCGTGATATTTGAAAAGTCATGGCAGTCACATGGAGACCCTAGAGACTTGAAAGAGGGTGGAAAGGAGCACCCTGGGAACTAATGACCTGTCAGCCTCACCTCTGTGCCTGGGTAGATCATGGAATAGATTCTCCTAGAAGCTATGCGAAGGCACATGCTATGTGGAGGCACATGCTATCAATTATGAGTGAAAAGCTATGGAGGACAAGGAGGTGATTTGAAACAGCCAGCATGCCTTCACCAAGGGCAAGTCCTGCCTGACCAAGCTAGTGGCCTTCTATGATGGAGTGACTGCATCAGTGGACAAGGGAAAAGCAACGTATGTCATCGATCTGGATTTCTTATAAAGCCTTTGACACTGTACACCTATGGATTTGATGGGTGGAATGTATGGTGGATAAGGAATTGTTTGGAAGGTCGCAACCAGAGGGTAGTGGTCAAAGGCTCGATGTCCAAATGGAGATCAGTGACAAGAGGTGTCCATCAGGCATCGATACTGGGACCAGTGCCGTTTAATATTTTCCTCAATGACATAGACAGCGAGATGTAGTGCACCCTCAGCAAGTTTGCAGATGACACCAAGCTGAGTGGTGCAGTTGACACGCCTGAGGGACGGGATGCCATGCTGAGGGAGCTGGATAAGCTTGAGAGGTGGGCCCATTTGAACCTCATGAGGTTCAGCAAGGCCAAGTGCAAGGTCCTGCACCTGGGTTGTGGCAACCCCTGGTATCAATACAGGCTGAGGGAAGAAGGGATTGAGAGCAGCCCTTTTAAGAAGGACCCAAGGATACTGGTGGATGAAAAGCTGGACAGGAGGTGAAAATGTGCGCTTGCAGCCCAGAAGGCCAACTGTATCCTGGGCTGCATCAAGAGAAGCGTGGCCAGCAGGTGAAAGGAGGTGATTCTGCCCCTCTGCTCCTCTCTTCTGAGAGCCCACCTGGAGTCCTGCGTCCATCTCTGGAGCCTCGCCGCAGGACAGACATGGAGCTATTGGAGTGGGGCAGGAGGAGGCCACAAAAGTGATGACAGGGCTGGAGCTCCTCTGCTGTGAGGAAAGGCTGAGAGAGTTGGGGCTGTTCAGCCTGGAGAGGAGAAGGCTGCAGGGGACCTTATTGCAGCCTTCCAGTACTTTAAGGGGCCTTATAAAAAAGATGGGGACAGGCTTTTTATCAAGGCCTGTTGCAATAGGACAAGGGGTGATGGTTTTAAACTAAAAGAGGATAGATTTGGACTGGATATAAGGAAGAAATTTTTTACAATGAGGAAGGTGAAACACTGGAAGAGGTTGCCCAGAGAGGTGGTTGATGCCCCCATGCCTGGAAATGTTCCAGGTCAGGTTCGATGGGGCTCTGAGCAACATGATTGTGTTGAAGATGTCCCGGCT